TAAGGAAATACATCAAAGTGACAAGATGTCTGAGCCATACTCACCTGGGAATCAGAATATTTTCCATTTAGCCTCCACTTGGAGGATCACGTGCAGCGTTGTACATGTCCGCACCGGGGTACACGCGGTGTCCCAGGGGTCCCGCATGTTCCCCTGCACACTCGCTTTTGGTGGCTGTTTAAAGGCATGGCATATCCTTGCACCTCATGTACCTGTTCAGATTTTTATATCATGCCCATTGACGTGCTGTCTGAGTGCTTCTTTGATTGTGTTACCCATTTGAAATGCCATTTTATCTATGGGTATCTGATAGCACAATCATTCATATGCAGTTGACTGCATTTATTTGTGGCATGACTTAAATGGATGCACCTGCAAGTCTACATAAAAAATCACCTGAGCCTATGAACTGGAATTTGAAGGAAAGCAACAGAATGCACATTTCAGTGTTGTTTCTCGTTCTTTAGCACTCTATTTCAATGTCATTTTTCTTCTCAAAGAAGAGAGAGGATTTCATTTTTATGCAGGGCTACGGTATGGATACAATAGACATCACTTTTGAAAACAAGCAATTTTTTAATGTTCTTTTAGGGAAATGTATATGTGCGTATGTATATGCATATTTATATTTCAACCCCCACACACACACCTGTTCTCTGTCATTTGAATATTCTAAAACAATCATTCATTTTCAGTTTCAGCACGACAGGGCCGTCTGCTGCGTCCTGCTGGCGCTCCAGGCTCTCTCAGCCTCTGACGAAGCCTTCGCTCTCCGTGCCGGCTCCCTCCTGTGCAGTACCCCGGCCCTGCTGCACCTGCCTCCCCTTCCACCTCATCCTCCTCTGGCTCACAAGGAAGGCTCCTTGACATCTCTGAGAGCCCTGGAGAGCGCGGTCTGTGCCTGGCAGCCCCTCACTGAGTGGAGCAGGGCTGCTGCAGGCAAAGCTGTGTGAAATGCCCCAGGTGAGGACAGCAAGAGAAAATCCTCCTTCCTCTTCCTCAGGGAGGGGGAGATGATCGCCAAATAAATTGCAGTTAAATCAGAAAACACCCTGTCTGCAAAATTAATTGTGGGCAGTGATAGCAGGCAAATAGGCTTCCCTTCTGAAAAGCGCCCTGAGATTTTTAGAGGTCTGCATGAAACAGCTGAGCACGAGCAAAAGTTGCAGAATTGAGTCACAGAATTGGGATCCTAAAGGCTTTGGGGTGAAATAGGTGTGTATTTTTTAGAGAAGGTGCTTTACATACCAGTATGGCATTTGCAGACATTTAAAACCTTGTAGCGATACCAAAGCCCAGACTGTGTTTCCTGACAGTGTGTTGAGTGCCACTTGGAACGGGTGGACGCATCAAAGGCTTCCCAAAGTGACATCCCTGGATGGCCACAGCAGCCGTGCTTCATGGAGAAACGTCTTGTCTGGTTCATGGGAACAGCACAGCTTTGCTGCCGTTTTGGGAAATTATTGTTGTGCCTTTTTTATTTCATAGAATCATGAAATCACAGAATACCTCAAGTTGGAAGGGACCCATAAGGATCACCAAGTCCAACTCCCTGCTCCTCGCAAGACTACCTAAAACTAAACTATATGACTAAGAGCATCATCCAGATGCTCCTTGAACTCTGACAGGCTTGGTGCTGTGACCACTTCTGTGGGGAGCCTGTTCCAGGGACCAACCACCTTCTCAGTGAAGAACCTTTTCCTAATGTCCAATCTGAGCTTCCCCTGACGCAGCTTCATTCCATTTCCTCATGCCCTGTTGCTGGTCACCAGAGAGAGATCAGCACCTTCCCCTCCACTTCTCCCCATGAGGAAGCTGTAGACTGCAATGAGGTCACTCCTCACCCTTCTCTTCTCCAGGCTGAACAAACCAAGT